ATTACTGCTAATTGCCTGTTATATACCAAAGATATACTGAATACTCGAGTTCGAAGCATTACTTTCATACTTATAGAATTTTTTCTCTGATTAAGCTGAAGCAATTCGATGGTCGTTCATTCGAATGACATGAAGTATAAGTAAGATGGGATAGTCGGTGGTATAAATGTTATAGTTGTCGTTTTTGCCGCTAGAAGGCTTGGAGAAAAATTTCCTTCTTACAAGTGCTCGATCTAAGTGTTTGTATATTTTATACTGCTTTGTTTCACGATTGTATCTACTTTTACTTTTACTTTTTTTTTTTTACTTTATATAATCATCAACTTTTCATAATTTTCTTAGTTACAGAAAATTGAGGTATTCCAAAGGACCGAATTAGTGACAGAAATTAACAAATAGTATCGATGCATTAATTATTCGTGCATGTAATTAGTTTTGATGATTCAAAATTGTGAAGTCATCCGACGATTGCATCGGTCGATATTGAAATATTGTTTCAAAGATGGTGTACACTTTATGAAAGGATACGTAAATATATACTAATAAATTCTCGCGAAATTAATCGATATTCTAAAGATTACGCAAAGAAGACGTGTTATATGTCATCAGCAAGTTCATGTTTCATTTAGTACTCTGTCTTTCAGATCTTTTTACAAATCTTTAGTAGTTATAATTTTTTGGAGACATATACATATGTTATGAATTATAGGGATTTGTAAATGTTTTTCAAAATAGTTTTTAAGTGATAGTTGCATTCAGGATTTATCAATCGATTTTTTAAACATTTCGTATCGTTATATATTGATTATGGTTTATATAATTATGTCAATCGTTTGTAATAACGTAGTATCATTGTCACGTTTCACAATGTCTATATGGAGCCTATATGCATGCATAAATTAAACGTCCAATTAACTTCTTTTAGAACTAACTCTATTTGATCAGAATAAATTTGCATAAATTTATCACTGTTTACTACTACCATATTTGTAAGAAAAATTGTTTTTTTAGTAGTATCATTATCTTTATCGGGTAAATCAACGCAACCTTATCTCTATTCAATGCAAACAAATTCCATTACTACACCATTTACTAAAATTTAAAAGTCAGAAAGAAGACATTTATACACTTCAGCAACCTAAATCTAACTCGAGCTTTAATAGAGTTACCATTACTTCCACTAGATAAACGAACATAACCTTATCACCGTTGTCACGATGGAATCATTGGAACGAAAAAAATGGTTCGTATATAAAAGATATTATACTTTTTGCCAGAGCACAGACTACCAGTAACTATTCTCGTTATGTGAATCAATTCTTCGTGGTCGATCATCGCGATAATGTGTCATTAACGAAT